CTGAAATTTCTAGTTCCAATTTTATCCGAGAGAGCCAGACGCAATCATCAAATGAGCCACACCTGGCTCGCGAGCTATGGGTTGCCGACCCCGGGTCTAAGGCATGGATTTTCGTTCGTTCCAGTGACCCAGCCTGAACTGGTTTGACTTGTAAATTTAAAAAATAAAACCATTCAGTAATTTTTACCTTGCCCGTAGCAGCGTTTGCTACAATGCTCAAAACTCACTGTGTGCGTCAATTAAACCCGATGCCACCTCTTTACTATCTGTGGACTTCCGTTTTTTTCCTATCCATCATTCTGCTACTTTAGGAAATCTGGTTTCGGAAGCAAGAAGACAAATCGTTAAGGTCTGGCAACCTCAATAAATACAAAATTCCGATCGACCTGGCTGACATCGCTTCGGGTGCTGACCCTTCAAAATTGATCGACCTAGTACAAGCAGTACGTCCTCCTCTCTCCTGCATTTTAAAAGCACTGAGGCCAAACTTTTGTCTCTTATACGTCTATCAAAAAAAAAATATTTTAAAGTTCGGCTGTTTAGCTTGCCAGCTGTTAACCTGTAGCGTTTAAGCGCTCTTAGTATTCAGAACACTACAATCATCAGGCCAAATCTCGAGTTATAAGAAAGACAGGAGGAATTTATTGTACACGGAACTCTGTGTTGCTGTGTCAACGCAACGGTGGCCACTGGCGAAGCCTGGAACTGTGTTTACTGCGTCCAGTCATATCCGAGAGACAGTGGTGGCAGTCGCTTTTATAGGTCATTGGTTTTGTTGCATCACCAGAAAGGCGTCGCGTCTAGTGACGCATGCTTATCGAGGTTTACCCCCAAACTAACAGCTGCGATCTTCCAGGCCAGGTTCCTTAGGTGAAGAGAGAGAAGTCACGGAAAGGCCAGAGTGCTCTCGTAGCTCAATTGGTAGAGCGTTGACTGTACTAAAGCCTTCCCTGGTGATGTGGGTTCGTATCCCACCGAGGCCATACATTTTTAACAATTGGGTCAATTGAAACATATATACTCATAGAAATAAGCGCTTCCGTTAGCCACATTATGGTAAGTCGTCTGATTAGGTCATTGGGTCGTAAAAGGGCTCGAGCATATAGTACGTGAAAACTGGAGAAAAACAGTTTTTACACCCTAAGATGAACTTTGGACCTACTTTTATCAGACGTACTTACCGTAATAAATACCCACTACAAAAATAAGCATTCACCAACTAGGGGGCTTATGAAGATGACAAAAAGCCGTGACAGGCAGACTAATTGGGTTTACGGGTAAAAGTAGAGATCCGGCTGCTAAAAACACAGGCAAACTTTTTGAAGCCAGATAGCCAGATTTCATCGTCGCCTTTTAATTACGCCAGACACCGAAGTTACTTGCTATTTTTAAAACTGGTTACCGACTTGCCTTCGGACCTAGAGTAAAAAATGAAGGCTTTGGATGAATCGTGTGGTGTTAATGCTAATAAGGTTTAACCCTAGCAGCTACGGTCTTCCAGGCCTGATTACTTAGGGAGAGAGAGAAGTCATGGGAAGGTCAGAGTGGTGGGAAGAGTATATTCTGTACAGAATAAATGAGAGAATAGGCAGTAGGAAACTGACTATCAGGCGACCGCACAACCTCAAGCCAGCAAACGCCGCCTGAAGTGATGTCTGCTCGGTAGTCGTCACATGAAGTTCTGCGTGAGTCGGCCTGTTATTGGCTGTTCCAGAGGCTGGAAGTAGCAAACGCACTTCGACTTGAGCTAGTTACGACAAGAGTTCACAAGTGCACTTCGCGTGGAACTTGTCACTACATGCTGACTCGACCGAGTGGCGGCCGTTTCAAGTGGCATTTGGGCGCACCTGGACGCACCTCTGTTCGCGAGCAGAGGTGGATAAAGCGGTCGCAAGACTGCAAATGTGCATGACCTCGAC